GACACTTGAATATCTAGATTGATTATTAGTAGAGTGACACTGAATAACATTATTGGTTGAATGCATGCTCTTAATTATTTAAGTTATAAATAATATTTAAATCAATGTTGAGAGAAAAAAGGTGAAGTGAAATTAAGAGCTGTCGTGATCATAGGCAAAAACTATCAGTATCACAGGTGAATCCAAGATTTCCTATTCCACCAAACATGAAATGATGAAAGTTTCTTTGAAATGATGTCCATGGAAGGAAAAGGTAAAGGGAAAATACTTTTCCCTTGTTTGTTTTACTCAAGGTAAATTTGAGGACTATTTGTCTGGACTTCCTCTGTAACCCCTTTTATAGAATTGTATTGAGTCTAAAAGTTACGATGTTTCATCTTCAAAAGTCGATGTTGTTAACAGAGATTGCGCAAACAATGTAGAGTTTTATCTTAACATGCCTCCAAGTTTTGGGTTTACACGTAATATTATTTTATGAAAGAATGTATGGTTGAAAATGAGTTTTGAAAAAATGTATTTTGAAAATAATTGAGAGTCCAAACGGATGCACAATTTCTGCAAACAAAACCTAAAATCTAGAAACAAATTAAACCGTTCGCAATCTTTTCGAATTGAACTTTAAACATTCAACAAGAACAAATTTTGCTACAAATAGAAATATTGTCTCCTCTTCATTTATAATTTTACGTTCAAGACACATTTGTGGAATTCATTTTTTATTACAGATTTGACACGTGAATTTTCTTAAAGGAGTAAAGCGAATTTTGAACTCGAATCATTATATGCTTCGATGTTATGCTCCTTTTAAAATAGAACTCTTAGATATTTTGTTTTAGATCATTTAGATTGAAAATCGATCAAAAACTAGTTAAACTAGACCCTTACACCCCTAATTTCACAGATTTTGTCTATTTTCTTTGTGAATATTTATATATACGTTTTTAAGGTGACAGATTCTGAGCTTGACTTTTGTTTGATTCTATCTCCTTTCTCAATCAAATCTACTAAATAAATAGTGAAATTCTTCCTATAACCTTCTTTAATTGATATTATTCCCTAGTATTCTATTAAGAATCGGGCTACACTACCCAAGTTGGATGACAAACTTGGGTTACTAAATGACGTGGCATCTATTAAAAAAAAGAGGGAAAGTAAAATTTGAATTAAAACACGTTCTCTCTCTCATCCATTATCGTCCCAGAGTAGAAACATACATCCTCGTTCTCTCTCTGCCCAACTCCCTTCCTCCTCGTTCTCTCTCCCGAAGCAAGAACATCCGGCAGCCGCTCAGCGCCGACAGTCTCCGCAAAATAGTGTCTGTCACCTCCAATAACCCTTAACGTACAAAGCCAAGAGGTATGCAACGTTTGATTGATCTTTATTTGTTGGTTTATGCTCGATTTTGAAGCAAGTTTTGTGAAATGGAGAATGAGTTTTGTCCTGGTAATTTTGAGTTTTAACTTGCGTTCTTGAGAAAATTAGAGCTATCGTGTTTGAATTTTGACTTGCATTTTGAAATGGAGAATGGGTTCTGCAAATTGGTAATTTTGAGTTCTAACTCGCGTTGTTGAGAAAATTGGAGCTATCGTGTTTGGGTTTTTGACTTGCATTTTCAAATTACTTTGTTTGGGTTTCACTTTCAATGCATCTACGCCAACCGTCGTTCTGAAGAATGGGGTTTACTTGCCCAGATCTTCTGTTAATTTGAGTTTGAGTTTATTTGTTTGGGATTAAGTTTCTGTGCGTTCAGTGTGTTTTGCGTTTTTGAGAAATTGAGTTCTAAGTTTTTGACAAGTTGAGTTCTAAGTTTACTTGCCCAGATATTGCTTTTTTTTATAGCTTCATGTGTTTTTACAGAAGTTGACGACATATCTAAAAGGTTTGAATCTCAAGTACAGCTTAATAACAACGAAGAACTGTTAATCTCCGTGAACGTGAGCATTAGCCGCCCCAAACCACCTGTTGAACGAGACATGAAGGGGAAGGGGAAGGACACGGCATAGTATACTCGGTTAATTATGTCTTTTTGCACTGATGCAGTAAAGAAGCAGTCGGATGTATATTGTAATTCTCTTATGTTGTAGTTCGAGGTAACTTTTCCAAGTTCGTGTTGCCTCTTGTCAGATGTTGTAATTCTCTTATCAACGTAATGAAAATCTATGACAAACAACTGCTATTTAACGTACTGGAATGCATTTTCTCCATTGATTATTTGAATTGAAAAACTGTGAATCCAATATAGAACTATCAAGTAATAGTGGAATTACAACTATCACTATTCAGGTAGCAATTGTTCAATTTCGACCAACATATGTAGGATAATGACATTCAAGCATGCTGTTCAAATTCTGCATAATTACACAAAATGAAACCCATAAAGTTATACATCATGTCCTATTACACAATGTAATAAAGTTATAGCTTCATCGGATGCATCATCTGGGATATTACTAGGTCTCGGTGCCGGACTATTTCTTTTTACTTGTTTCGAGCGTGCCTGCAAATAAACGAACCACG